TTTGTCGTGAGAAGCCGCGCTCGCACTCGACGGTACTGAGCGGAAGCACGGCGACAACCATCCACAGGTGGACGAGGTTCGGGTAGCACGTCGCCCAGTCGGGGGAGGACAGCATGAGTTTCAGGCTGTCCGCACACCCGACATCCTCTTGGTGTGTGGCCAGGATGGTAGAGAAGGTGACAAGCTCTCGCTGCGCTCTCGCCCAGCTGATGCCTGCGGTTGGGGTGCACATGGGAACATTGGAATTGGTGATGTAGTGTTTAGACAAGCATGTGGAAACAACGCTAAACATACAGCTCATTCCCGGCATTTAACGCACCTGGTATAGTGTCAGGGTCATCTGGCTTCCGCTTGAACATGTTGCGCAGAGACTGGAGCCATTGGCCTAGCCGTCGCTCACGCTTTGCCTGGTTCTTGGGATAGGATCTCTGCTTGAGCAGCTTCGCCCCGTCGAGGTTTGACAGGTCCTTGAGGCGGTAGTCGAGCCGGCCGACCAGGGTCGTGATGAACTCGCGCGCCAGCACCAAACACGCTTGGTGGTCCGCGCCGCTCGTCTGCCCCTTGATTTTCTCCTCGTGCAGTCGGTATCGATGGCTGACCGATGTGCCGTCGGAAGCAGTGCCAGCAACGAGGACCTCGCGGAACTCCCCAGATGCGTGCTTGTCGAGGAACGGGCCCAACGCGTCTCCACCCTGGCCAAACATCGCGTCGTCGCAGTCGAGGTAGCGTGTGCGCAGCAGTAAGGTCGTGTTGTGCACCATCGGCAGCACATGGGTTGCCTCAACCTGTAAACGGGGGTGCACAAGCAGGATGGTTAGTAAGAGATTGTAAATGAAAAAACCGGCCACGTGTAACTCGGGAAACTGCTTACCTGACGCCGCTGAAACTTCAAGCTTAGCAGGTTGAGCTCCTTCAAGACGTCAGAAAGGAAGAACAACAGGAAATGGAACTTATAGCTCGTTACGACTTGATACATCTTCTTGTTTGTTTCGTGCAACACCATGACTGCAGCAGGAAAAACCTTCACCAGGCGCTGGATGGCGTCACCACGCGACAACCATCTGACGTCCTTGATGCCTTGAACTTCAAGATGGGTCTCGCAAATGACCTCCTGAAGCTCTTGAAACCGGGCGTGGTTAACACAGGAACGACCGAGGTTCTCAGCCACGGCGCGGACCACCTTGTCCACGACGTTGAAGTCAGGATGCTTGGCGGCAGCATCCTTGGCCGCCAAGGCCTCCCTGCAAGACAGCAGATGGTAACATTAGCACGGGTGTTTTTAAAAAAAGTAGGCAGGAAACGCGCAGTAACAACGCTTACCTGTGCGCGATGCAGTGAGACGACACAAGGTGAGGAACCTTGACTTTCAGGCGCGCGGTGACTCCGTTGTGCTGTCCAAGCATGACGGAAGCACCATCAGTGCTTATACCGGTGAGGCGCTGTAGGTCGATGCCGGTACTCTCCAGATGCGTCAGGAGCACTGTGGTGAGTGACGCGGCGTCACACTGCTCCACACTGAGCAAGGCGAAGAACTCCGTCACGGGTGCATTGTCACGCATGAACGTCAAAAAGACGATCATGTGCTTCCCCCGCCATCGGTCGGTGCTCTCGTCTAGCTGGATGCCAAGGTACGGACTGTTGCGGATGTGCTTCAGCTGGCGGGACTTGAGGTAGCACACCATGGTCTCGACCAGTTGTGCGAAGCCGTACCTGAGACACCACGGGTTGATACTCGTTAGACTCCTAAACAAATAACAAAAAAAAGATGAGTAAAACGGGACACTTACTCGCTGTAGTACGTCCCGTTCTCCTTCAGGGGCAAATCCGGTGTCCCCTGCTCTGCCATGAATTGAACCAAAGCCACGAAAAGAACAATGGGAGCGTCAGACTTGCAAATGAATAGCACGATAGCCATCAAGCGAGCAATACGCTTAACATCAGCGTCCCCACGGTGGAAGTCAGCAATTGACTTCTGCACTTTCTTGACGCCGTCGCGCTCCTCCTTCCTCAAGACCGCGGCCTCGTGTTTCAGACTGTGGTGATGCTTGCGCATCGTCTGCTTCTGGATGTCGATGCCGCCATCGCCGTTACGCCCGTATTTGTAGTTCAGGTCACCGAAGACCATGCAGACGCTGCAACGCATGCACGGGCGGCCTGCCTTGTTTTCGGAGATGAGGAGCCAAGGAAAATACCGCTGCCACTGCTGCTTGCACTTCAACTGAAGCTCCTCAACCGACAGTTGCTTGCCCTTCGGGTCTTCGAAGTCTTCAGTCGCGGGTTCAGGTTCTGGTTCCGCGGGGCGCGGAAGAACTGCCGGTGCTGGCTGAGTCGGACCGCCCGGACGGCAGACGGTGAGAACACGCTGTTTATACCGCTTCTTCAAAGATCTGTCAGGCAAGACGGGGTTAGCACTGCAAGAGGTTGTAGCGACCGACACTGGAGGGATGCTCTTATTTGCACATTCGTCAGGGAGCGGAGGGGATAACAGCGTTGTTGGGGTAGTCGTTGCTGGCACGTGTTGATCGCCATTTTCCGAGTTGGGCAAAGGTACCGCAGCAGAGGTCGACGCAATCGGAGGGGCAGCAGAAGCGATCTGCTTGCCCCGCGTTAGGAAGTCTAGGGCGGAAAGCACGGGCTCCCCATCGCACGGTCCGCCGGCAGGGACGGCCATAGCCTAAACGCTGGGAAGCGTCACGCTAGGAAATCAGACGCTGGGAGCAGGGCTCAGGTTTGGTTTTTACCTACTCACGATTAGCAGTGTAGACATTTTCAAAACCCTTTTGAGCAGTGTGTCTTTTTTGGTAACACTGATGGATCAGTGTAATTTGAAGTTTTGAAAACTTTACCCAGAGGCATCAGTGTAGGTATATTTTTTACCCTGATTGTACTGTAGGTGCTAGCAGCAACCAAGTTGGAGGCCCAAATTGCGCAAGATGGGCACTGGTGGGTGGGGGTTGTTGTGAAAGTCGAGCGCAGTGGCTTGTCTGGTTTCACTGAGTCAGCAGGCTTCCCGGGTGGGGGGGAACATGTGTTTGGGTACCTCGATCGAGTGGAGTAGAGGGAATTGAAGTCCTGCACTGAGAGCAGCTTTGACCAATCAGGTTGCAGTTTTTGCTTCGTGTAGGTTGCAAGCAGACACGGAGTGACGCGGTGTCGGTCGTCAGTACTCACGTGCTGCCGTCGTAGTGCATCATTACGAAATTAGGTGTACCGTTTTGAAATTTCGGAGAACCATCTCAATAGGTTGAGTTTCCGAAAAGGGGGGGGGGGGGGGGGGGGGGGGGGAGGGGGGTTCCCTGTACGCTCTTCAGGGTAATCTTCGCTAAAGAAAATTTTACCTCAGAGCATCAGTGTGGCCTAAATCATTACACTGACATATCAGTGTAACACTAATCTCCCAAAATTTTACCCCAGCCCATCAGTGTAGACTGAAAATTTCACCCTTCTCATCAGTGGAGAAGGGTAAATTACACTTCAAACCTGAGCCCTGGCTGGGAGGGAAACGATCCATGCTCGGCTGGGGGAGAGGTGAGGACGAGCAGGAGAAACAGGCTTGTTTTCAAGCCAGACCCAGCTGCATGAAACCCCATCACCGTGCACTGCACTCAGAACCGAAAGGCGGTGCGTGTTGGGAGCGGGGGGCACTACGACCACAGTGATGTGTTGCGCGCCCTCTACGAATAGCAAATGCGCTGGCACAACGGGACAGCGCGTTGTCGTGGCTGTGGCTGGCGTCGGCGCCGACAGCCACCCAAACGACAAACGCCTGGCAGCATATGCCGCAGATACATGCCAGCGAGGCTGCACAAGGCAGTTACAGAGCTGTATAAGACACGCGTAATGAATGCGCGTGCAGTTACAAGGCAGCAATCGGCTGTACCCGTGGTGGTCCTGTCCTCTGGTCAACTGGGCCTATGGCCTAGTGGGTCAAGTTGTCGGTTTCAGACGAAACCGAACTCGCTATCTGTATCCTCAGATAAAAAATTCTACACGTCTGAAAAAATCATACGAACTTAAAAGTCAAATCTTACTGATCAGATGAGAACAAACACAAAATCTTAGGATTAAGATGAATACAAAAAAACCAGTCTTAAACGCAGACCATCAGACCAAATTGGTCTGATAACGAGAACCCTGCTTCAAGGATTGGTATCTCTTGCAGAATTGGTAAGGTATTGCCAATCCATGATATAGCGAAGTTGTGAGTGAGCAGCATTAGGGTGTCGTAATGGAAAGAGTGGAGAAACAATTGGTGCTGTCAAACTGGGGGGCGTTTTTCTACCACAATTTATTTCTCTAAAGAGGATCTTAGCAAGGTGTTAAGGAAAAAGAATGAACCGTAGTGAAGTTGTGAGATTGAAGCACAGATGAATGAGTTTTCACTCGTACATGCAGCACAGACATCACAGTATAAGTGCTTTGAGCATCGTAGGTGCTGCATTCCGGCGACTTGCAGTATAGGGGCTTCGCAAATGACTACGATTATTCCATGTTTGCAAAGGTTGAGTCAGAGAGTTTTGAGGGACTAAATTCGTGTGACACGCGTACTCGCAGGCGTCCGCGCGCAAGCCACTCGAGGAGAAGCATTGAGAGATTATCATCGCACGGTGGTTGCTCATCTGCATGGAGCTATTTCGCTAGGGCCTGCGACTAGAGCTGCCACTCTGCGAATAGTAACGACATCGCAGTCCGCGTTGCGCGACAGCGACTCAGGTGGCACTTTAACGACATAGCAGGGGCTGGCACGTATCTTCGCGGCTGCATTCCGCCCACCCCGCCCTCTGTGCACCCACGCCCTCTGTGCACCCACGCCCTCCTCACGCGCCTGCATTGCATCCTCTGTTGCCTTGCAGAGGGGGGGACGGATTCCAGTACTTTCACACCCGATCTCTTTGAGATTCGACAAGAGTTTCTCGTGAAACCCAGAATTGGGTTTCCCATTAAACCCGTAACCCGAAACCCAGAACCCCGAGATTTTGTGATCGCGAGTGGCGGGCGGCATGGGCAAGCGAGAGGTGCGCGCGGGGGTGAGTCCCGCGGAGCGGGAGGAGCGGATGCGCGCGGCGAGGGAAATGGCTAAGGAGCTCCCCATCTCTGCAGGTATGGCATTCCCATGGGTGCAGGTACGGCATTCCCATGGGTGCAGGTACGGCATTCCCATGGCTGCAGGTACGGCATTCCCATGGGTGCAGGTACGGCATTCCCATGGCTGCAGGTACGGCATTCCCATGGGTGCAGGTACCCATCATCATTTTCTACTGCCCTCCAGTACCCTCCATTACTCTCCAGCGCCCTTAAACACCCTCCACTCGCCTCCATTCACAACACCCTGTAGAACCCTTCACTGCACCCTAAAGAGCCTCTGCCGCTCTGCTGTCTGTGCAAACTTGAAACCTTGCTATTTTCGCAAATAGCCCTCATACAGTCCTGGAATTCTAGCTTTCATATCTCGTCCAATTGTGTCTCATTGCCCTGTAACGCGTACAACCACCCGCCCCTGCACGGCAGTGCAGCAGCAGCTGGTGGAGGAGGTGCGGGCGGCACACACACTCGTGGTGGTGGGCGAGACCGGCAGCGGCAAGACCACTCGTCAGTCCCTCCTTCCCCCGCCCGCCCTCTCTTGCCCTCTCCTCCTCTCTTGCCCTCTCCTCCTCTCTTGCCCTCTCCTCCTCTCTTGCCCTCTCCTCCTCTCTTGCCCTCTCCTCCTCTCTTGCCCTCTCCTCCTCTCTTGCCCTCTCCTCCTCTCTTGCCCTCTCCTCCTCTCTTGCCCTCTCCTCCTCTCTTGCCCTCTCCTCCTCTCTTACACTTATCCTCAAGCACCCTCGTCAGTCCCTCCTCCTTGTGCCCAGTGCCACCCACTCCAGCCGCTCTCCCCACGCCACGGATCACCATCACAATATCCTGCTCCCACTCTACCACTCCGTCCCTCCCTTCTCCCCTTCTCCTTCCCCAGAGGGCCCCATCCTCCACTCGTCGCTCCATTTACACGCAACACTGCCTGACACTTATCACTCACCTTGCCTCCCTCTCTTTGCCATCTCCACTTCCCTCTGTATCCCTCCCCCCCAGAGCTCCCCCAGTTCATTCTTTCCTCCAGCCTGCTCGCTCGCGCCACACCAATCCATTGCCATCACACAAACGCAGTGGATGGCAGCAGTGACGTGACTCACCCACTCACTCCCCCTCTCGCTCTCTCCATCTCACTCCCCCTCACATGCTCTCCCACTAACTCATTCTCTCCTTCTCTCACTCTCACTCTTTTTCCTCACTCCCTCTCCTTCTCCCCCGCAGAGCTCCCTCAGTTCATCCTCTCATCGGGCCTGCTCGCCCCACACCAAGCCATCGCCGTCACACAGCCGCGCAGAGTGGCAGCAGTGACGGTGGCGGCGCGCGTGGCGGAGGAGAGGGGCGTGGGCGTGGGGCAGGAGGTGGGTTACAGCGTGCGATTCGAGGACGTCACCAGCTCGCACACGCGCATTAAATATCTTACCGATGGCATGCTTCTCAGGTGAGGGGAGGGATTATGTAGTGCTCCGTAGGGTGGCGGAGGAGGGAGGAGAGGGGCGTGGGCGTGGGGCAGGAGGTGGGGTACAGCGTGCGATTTGAGGACGTCACCAGCTCGCACACGCGCATCAAGTACCTCACTCACTGATGGCATGCTGCTCAGGTGCGGGTCAGGGTGCTGTGCTGCACCCAGTGTGGTGCAGAGCTTTGTGGCATGAAGGTCAACTCCATGTCACGTCCACCTACACCACGCGCATCAAGTACCTCACTCATGGCATGCTGCTCAGGTGCGGTGCGGTGAGGGCTAAGTTGGTGCACCCAGTGTGGTGCACTTAGTGTGGTACTTGGTGGTGCGCGGGTCAACTCCATGACACCTCCTCCCGCACCACGCATGCACATCGAGTACCTCACCAACGGCATGCTGCTCAGGTGCGACCGGCGGTGGTGGTGTTCTGTAGAGCCTAAGTAATGTTTAGTAACACACAGGTGAATGCTCAGGTGAGTGCTCAGGTGAGTGCTCAGGTGAGTGCTCAGGTGAGTGCCCAGGTGAGTGCTCATGTGAGTGCTCAGGTGAGTGCTCAGGTGAATGCTCAGGTGAATGCTCTGGTGATTCCGTGTCCATGGTCCCTTGCAACCTGTCTTGTCCTTATTGGACCTTCTTCCACACTGCTTTGGCGTGGTGAGGTGAGGATGAGGCAGACAGACAGACGTGGTGAGGATGAGGCTGACAGACAGACGAGTAAGGTAGTAAACACCCTTCTCCCAGATTTCATGTGGCTCCTTCTGGTGGACCTTTTTGGCTCTGGTGGGCCCTTGTATGGAGCTGCTATGGCGTGGTGGTGGACGAGGGTCATGAGCGCACATTGAAGCACCCAGGTGTGCAAGACGCACCAACACCCTGTTTCCACATTCCCGATGTCACAACCTCCAGGGAAGCACTTTTGGACCCTCTTTTGAAGCGGTATGGCGTGGTGGTGGTGGACGAGGCCCACGAGCGCACTGTGAACACGGACGTGCTGCTGGGCCTGCTGCAGCAGGTGCAGGCCCGCCGCCATGCGCTCGCCACAGGGCAGGCGGGTGTAGGGATGGGTGGGCAGGGGCAGAAGGGGAAGGTGGTGGACGGTGGGAGAGAGGCGGAGGATGGGGACACGGGGAGGCGGAAGGGGAAGAAGAGGCGGAGAGGAGAGGAGGGCAGGGAGGGGGAAGCAGACAGAGAGGCGGACGGGCAGATTGGGGAGGCTGCTGCAGGCACAGGCACAGGCACAGGCGTAGTGGCAGGTGCAGGTGCAGGTGCAGGCACAGGTGCAAGCGAGGGCGAGTTGAAGCTGATAGTCATGTCGGCTACCCTGGAGTCGCGCAAGTTCCTCGACTTCTTCCCCGGCGCCCACGCTGTGTACATCCGCGGCAGGCAGCACCCCGTGCAGGTGCTCTACACTCCCGCCCCCGAGCCTGACTTTCTCGACGCAGCGCTGGTAACCGTGTTACAGATACACACGGATCACCCTCTAGAGGGTACAGCCCCGGGGCAGGCGGGGGATATTCTCGTGTTTCTCACGGGGCAGGAGGATATAGAGGCCATGGCCAGGCTGCTGCAGGAACGTGCGGCGAAGCTTCCTCCCGGGACGCCGCCGCTGGCGGTGGCGCCCATCTATGCGGCGCTGCCGGCGGAGCAGCAGATGAACGTGTTCCGCCCCGCACCCGCTGGGTCCAGAAAGGTGCAGTGCGGTGCAGCGCGGATGGAGGGGTGAGGTGGGGGTTAGGAGATGGGCTGCTGGTTTAGAGGTCGGGCGTGGAGTGGAAGCTTGGGCAGGGTGGCGGTGACATGTAGGGACAGGGTGACAATAAGTGGCAGGGTGAACTGAAATGCATCACCTTCAGTAGATTACTGATTATGCTGCAGCTGCTCATCCTTCCCCGGCCCACTTTCAACCAAGTGATGCAGTGCCGTGTGCTCCTATCAGCTCTTTCCTCTCATCTCTGCCCGTCGTCCCTCCAGCGTTCACCTTTCGACTGCTTCCACCACTCTGCTCGTTCCCCCACCCAGCATCGCACACTCCTGTCCACACCCAGCATCGCACACTCCTGTCCACACCAGGCGTGTGGTGTGAAATGGAAGCAAGCAAGCCTTCCTCCTCTCCCTCACTCTTTCCCCCCCGCTCCAATCCCCTCCCTCTGCCTGCACCCAACCTCCCCCACTCTCTGCATGCCGCTCGCTCCTCTCCCCCAGGTCGTTCTAGCGACCAACATCGCCGAGACGTCAGTGACGATCCCAGGCATCCGCTTCGTGGTGGATGCGGGGCTGGTGAAGGCGCGGGCGTTCAACTGCCGCACGGGTGTTGACTCGCTGGTGGTCGTGCCCGTGTCCAAGGCACAGGCCCGCCAGAGAAGGTGCGCGGAGGTACGGGGGTGTTGGGCATGGGGGGCTTGCACTGCAGGGGCGCTCAACGGGTGTTGACTCTCTGGTGGTCGTGCCCGTGTTTAAGACACAGGCCCGGCAGAGGAGGTGTGTGGTGAACCGTGAAGGGGCATGTGTGGGTGCGGGTAGGTGGAGGGTGGGAGGCATGGGTGCGCGGAGGAGGTTGGTACATGCAGTGCGGGAAGGCAAGCAGGAGAAGGCAAGGGCATTCAACCGGTGTTGACTGGCTCGTCGCTGTGCCCATGTCCAAGGCGCACGGCCGCAGGCCCCCCAGAGAAGGGGCGGGGAGGGGGGGGGGGGTATGCATGGGCGGAGGGAGGTGCGGGGAGGTTGGGTTGGGTGGTTCGAAAGTGGGCAGAGGAAGGAGGTGGGAGCAACTGTGGGCTGAGAAGGTCGGGGGCATGTGGTGGGGGTGGGGGAACACTGCATGTGGTTTTATTAACCTCATCTCAACCTCCAGGCATCACTGGTGAAGGTGCAACCTCCAGGCATCACTGGTGAAGGTGCAACCTCCAGGCATCACTGGTGAAGGTGCAACCGAGTGGCCTCTGCCTTTGCGCCCTGTCTGCTCCCTCCCACTCTCCACTCCCACTCAGCACCGCGCTCGACTCCCTCCCTCCATGCCTCCATTGCCTCCCTCCCTCCATGCCTCCATCCATTGCCTCCCTCCCTCCATGCCTCCATCCATTGCCTCCCTCCCTCCATGCCTCCATCCATTGCCTCCCTCCCTCCATGCCTCCATCCATTGCCTCCCTCCCACGTTCCATCCGCTCCTGCAGTGGGCGAGCGGGCAGGGAGGCGCCGGGCAAGTGCTACCGGCTGTACACAGAGGGCACGTTCGACGCGCTGCCAGAGGCGCCCGTGCCGGAGATGCTGCGCTGCAACCTCGCTGCTGTCGTGCTGCAACTCATCGCCCTCGGGGTCAAGGACCTGCTCTCCTTCCCCTTCCTCGACCCGCCACCGCAGTGAGTGGTTTGTTTTTTGTGTCTCGCCTTGACTTGTTGTCAGGTCAGGACTGCAGGTGCTGGAAACGGCCGTGAAGGCCCTGAAGGCCTAGCAGCGCTGTTGTGCTGCAATGCAACTCATCGCTCTCTCTAACACCCTCCAGCGTCCCCTCTACAAAAACCTCTGAGGCTTTTGACCATCCAGCACTCCCCTTATGAGTCGACTCAAAAGTCACCTCTGAGGCTTTTGACCATCCAGCACTCCCCTTCATCCATCCGCACTACCAGTCTCTCATGCTTCTTTCCTCCTTCCCCCTTCTCTCCCTCCTGTGTCCCCTCCCCCTTCCAGGGCGCCAAGACTGCGGGCGCTGGAGCATCTGTTCGCTTAGGGAGCGCTCACGCCACAGGGCCGGCTGTCAGCACAGGGCAAACACATGGCCCGCTTCCCGCTCTTCACCCCCTTCTCTCACCCCTCTGTACACTCCCTCCCCCCTGACAGGGCGGCCATACTGCGAGCTTTGGAGCATCTGTTCTCGCTGGGAGCGCTCACACCAGACGGGAGCCTGTCGCCACAGGGGAAACACATGGCGCGCTTCCCCCTCGACCCCGTCTTCGCCAAGGTGCGTGGGCGAGTTCATGCCGAGGCGATTTTTGTGTCGACTCAAAAATCGTCTCAACACATGCGGATTACATGTGGAGAGAATGTTTGTTGCGTGAAAAATTGGTTGTAACCTACAGCGGTTACTGGTGCGTGCGCGACTTTCAGAGTTGCCCCCTGGCGAAATCTGAACCCAACCCTTCACGCTGACACTTTCGAGGACGCTGAAGACGTGGCTGCCTGAAGTTTTCGAGGGCAGTCGGATTGGTCCCCGTCACTTGGGTGACCTGGTGTGGATAGCCTAGAGTTCGCTTTCTTGGAAGCTTTGTTTCTATTTAGAGGCATTGCTTAGCCCTTCTTTCTCATTGTTGGCACTGATGAAGGTTCGAGAGGGTCCTTCCCTCTCGGCCGAAACATGTTTGTCCATGTTTTACTCTACTGCTAAGTGTTTGGGTTCTGAGATCGTTCTGAGCACTTAGTTTTACACAAGAGCGGAATTTTGCTGCTGTATATCCTTTGCTTTAAGCCTACTGCACGCACGCAGCTCACTGAGACATGTCTGAAACTCAGGTGGGTGGGCGAGTTCATGCTGAGGTGGGTGAGCGAGTGCACACAGGTGAGCACACAGCAGGTGACCAATGCGCCGTGCTTGTGCCGCGGGGAAAGAGCATGCTCCTCCTCACCATCCGCTCCTTCATCGACAGTGCTGCTGCAGGCCCGGCAGTATGAGGAGGTCCAGCAGTATGAGGAGGTCCAGAAGTATGAGGAGGTCCAGCAGTATGAGGAGGTCCAGCAGTATGAGGAGGTGCAGCAGTATGAGGCGGAGCACCCCTCTCACTCTGCCCCCCTCCCCTCCCCCTCCTCCAGGCCATACTGGATGCGTATGGCCTTGGGTCAGCAGCAGTGGCAGGCGACATGGTGGTAGCATCGAGCACACGAAAGCGACCATTCCCAGTTTCCATGCTTGTTATCCACCCAGCCGTCAGTGTCACTCTTTCCACTCCACCTCCCTCGCCCCCCCCACCTCACCAGGCCATACTGGAAGCATATCGACTGGGGACAGCAGTGGCGGCGGACAGCATGTGGCAGCAGCAGGCACAACCATCCTCTGCACTCGTTATGCTCACACCCATCATTGTCCCTCGCTCCCTCCGCTTCCCCCCCTTCCCTTCCCCTCCTCCACAGGCCATACTGGAGGCATATCGCCTTGGATCAGCAGCAGTGGCAGACGACATGGTGGCAGCAGTGGCCATGCTCTCTGTGGACTCGCCCTTCCATACGCCCTCGCATGCTGCTGCTGAGGTAATGCTGCTGCTCATGTATTGCTGCTGCTGACTTGGCATGGCATAGCTGTTGCTCATGTCACATGGCCAATGTTGCACTGACTGACATTGCTTGATCCAAGTCATCATGCTGAGATGTCATGAGATTGAATGGGGCTTCTTGTGATGGCGTTACATAATCTGTGTAACATAATCACTCCTTTCATTCCCTTCACTTTTTTCTCCACATCCCTGTTACATAATCTGTTGCCTCGCTCACAGGCTCATGCTGCCCGAAAGAGATTTTTCTGCCCGGATGGCGACCATCTCACGCTGGTGAACGTTCTGCGGGGTTATCTGGCAGCGGGCAGCCAAAACACCAAGGCTGATGACGTGGCAGATGACGGGAGCAACAAAGATGGGAGTCGTGGTGGGGGTCCGGGGTTTGGGCGACAGGCGAAGGCGAGGGAGGGGAGGGTGCGGGCATGGTGCAAGGCACACTACCTCAATGGACGCTCTCTAAAAAAGGCAGCAGATGTGTATCGGTGAGAGTGGGGCAGATGTGTATCGGTGAGAGTGGGGCAGACGTGTATCGGTGAGAATGCACGGGCCCATGGATGGCTGGTGAGAATGCACGGGCCATGCATGGCTGGGCCTTAATCTTCTTCTGTTTGAGGTTTACGGTCGGAATGGTTTCAAAAGAAGGCACTTGTCCACCCAGGATCATAACTGTCTGCATGTCCCTCACTCTCCACTCCTCCTCTCTGCATCTCCCTCACTCCTTTTCTCCAATCTGCACGTCCCTCTCTCCTCTCCTCCTCTCTGCATGTCCAATCTGCATGTCCCGCACGCCCGTGCCGTATTCACCGCAGGCAATTGCAAGCGTACTGTCACGGCCTCTCTCTACCTGTTGTCTCCAACTCGCCTCCACCTCCATCGTCGTCATCAGGACTCGCGGCCACGGGCACAGCAGCAGCAGCAGCAGCGCAGCGGCGGGACGAGTCGGTTGCGTTTCGCCGGGCGCTGACAGCAGCCTTCTTTGCCAACGCTGCCAAGAAGCAAGCCGACGGCACATACAGGTACCTGAGGGCGGGCACGTGCTGGTACGTGAGGCCCTGAGGGTGGGCACGTGCTGGTACGTGAGGCCCTGAGGGTGGGCACGTGCAACCTGAGGGTGGGCAACAACATCTTGGGAGGGTGGAAGGACCAGTACTTGTTGAGTGCTCCGCCGCACAGATGTGATTTCTGAGGCGCCTCAAGGGCCGTGCATGTTGCGTGCGGGACCTTACAGATGTGCGCATGAGAATGCAGTGATAGCCTCATGCACCCTCATGCGCACACCACTCTCAGGTGCTGTGCTCTCAGGTGCCATGCTCTCAGGTGCCATGCTCTCAGGTGCCATGCTCTCAGGTGCCATGCTCTCAGGTGCTGTGCTCTCAGGTGCCATGCTCTCAGGTGCCATGCTCTCAGGTGCTGTGCTCTCAGGTGCCATGCTCTCAGGTGCCATGCTCTCAGGTGCCATGCTCTCAGGTGCTGTGCTCTCAGGTGCCATGCTCTCAGGTGCCATGCTCTCAGGTGCCATGCTCTCAGGTGCTGTGCTCTCAGGTGCCATGCTCTCAGGTGCCATGCTCTCAGGTGTCATGCTCTCAGGTGCCATGCTCTCAGATGCTCTGCTCCTCAGCCCCCCCCGGCCTTGTTACCGCCACCACGTTCTGCCTGCCTTCATATTGCCCGCCTCTCTGCCTTCTCACCTGTGCCCTCGCCTTCCCAGGGCACTAGCAAGCGGGCAGGTGGTGGCGATTTACCCAACCTCTGCCTGCCTTCACTATTGAAGCACACCGGCATCCTCCTCTCGCCCTTCCCCCCTGTGCTCCCTCTCCTCTCGCCCTTCCCCCCTGTGCTCCCTCTCCTCTCGCCCTTCCCCCCTGTGATCCCTCTCCTCTCAGGGCACTAGCAAGCGGGCAGGTGGTGGCAATCCACCCATCCTCCGTTCTCTTCAGCGGCGCCGCCACCAGCAGCACCACCATTGGTGGCAGCAGAGGGGGTGGCGGCAGCAACCGCAGCAAGAGCAGCAAGAGTGGGGGCGAGCAGCAGGCAGCACCTGCACGTGCACATCTGCCGGACTGCATAGTGTTCAATGAGATGGTTCGCACCAACAGGCTGTATGCTCGCGGTGTCACCCGCATTGATGCCCTCTGGCTGCCTGAACTTGCACCGCAATTCTATAAAACCCATGTGTAATGAATGGCAGCACCTGCACATGCGCATTTGCTGGACTGCATAGTGTTTAATGAAATGGTTCGCACCAACTGGCTGTATGCTCGCTCGCGGTGTCACCCGCATTGATGCTCTCTGGTTGCCTGAGCTCGCACCACAGTTCTATAAAACAGATGTGTCAGGAGATGTGTGGTGACCGCAAGGCAATTGCATCAATGAACCTTTGAAGAGATGTGTCCCGGGGTATTTGCCAGGTGCAAATTTCGTGGCCAGGCGTTGCGCAAGTCCTTGTTCGTGCAGCAATTATAGGTGTTTTAGAATCCTGGTGCGCTAAGCAATCGTGTAACAAGTGTGCAGAGGGATAAATACCTCCAGGTCTATCACATTGACCAGCTCAACACAGGTCTTTTCATATTCCCAATGAAGTAATCTACCACCTTACAATTATTCTCTGCTCCATTCAACATTTCCTCCACTGACACTCCGGTACAATTTTTTTTTTTTTTTTTTGGGTTGCGAAGCAACCTATTACAATCGTTATGTACAATTTTTTTTTTCAATCCTCAATACCTTTAAAAAATAGAGGGAAAAAATATAGTGAACGGTACTAGCTAAATGACTGACTGCTATGTATCTGCCGCGTCAATTTACCACGTGCTGAACCACATTCCTTCTCATTTCCTAGTTTACTTTGACTGAACCTATATTTCATGAGTTGCCAAAATGATGTACTGTGAATGCATAACTGTTTATTCCGTGATGCATATGTCTGCTGTTGTTATAAGTAGATGAAGTAAATGCAAATGCATAAGTATAATGCATACACGGTACTACCGGTACCGTAATGAAATAAATGCACAGCATGATGGAAGTGCGTAACAGTTAATTGACGCAGACCCTATGCTACCGCATCCCCTGCCTAGCATGGGGGGGAGCTCAATAGCATAATTTCTGAATCATCCAACTGTTACATGAAACAACACAATCTGTGTGATATAAAAAACAGGTCAATTCCATCAAATCCAGTTCGAATGGACACACTCACTGAGTGCGCAAAGAACCTTCTCGGAAATGATAGTTTGATCCCAATTTTTAAACCCCACAGACATGTGTTATTAATGCAATGGAAACATGAATGAAAACGCATACGCACACAACACAACGCATACACATGATCATACACATTCACACAGACACGCACGCACGAAGTCAACTGACAAAGCATATTAACCGCATATGAAATAGAAACCTAAATCACCAAGACATTATGTATCCTATACTGTAAGTCACAAGCAATATCAGTCTACTTCTCATATTGAGCTCGACTGCCTGAAAAGTAAGACAAAGCTGGGTTGAGGAAGGGAAGGCAAATGGGAAATAACAAGGCATAATGAAATTACAAGAAAAAGGAATAATGAAGAAACAAATGAAACAATACAAGGGCCAAGAAAAACGCCATGAGCATTGAAGGGTTAGAGCTGACAAATGACAAGGAGAAAATGTACTAAGGCATAAAACGAAAGTAAAGAAAGAGAACAAAGGGAAAAACACATGACCAGACAGTAAACGAACGAAGAGAATATAACAAATACGTTGAGCGAGAACAACGGAGACCGAGAGCGAGAGCGAGAGCGAGAGAGAGAGAGAGAGAGAGAGAGAGAGAGAGAGAGAGAGAGAGAGAGAGAGAGAGAGAGAGAGAGAGAGAGAGAGAGAGAGAGAGAGAGAGAGAGAGAGAGAGAGAGAGAGAGGACGAGAGAGCGAGAACGAGAGAGTGGACGAACGAGAGAGAACGAACGAGAGATTCGACAAAAGAGAACGAGAGAACGACAGAGACGGAACGAGAGAGAGAGAGAGAGAGAGAGAGAGAGAGAGAGAGAGAGAGAGAGAGAGAGAGAGAGAGAGAGAGAGAGAGAGAGAGAGAACGAGAGAGAGAACGAGAGAGAGAACGAGAGAGAGGGAACAAGAGAGAGGGAGAACGAAAGAGAGAGAGAGAGAGAGAGAGAGAGAGAGAGAGAGAGAGAGAGAGAGAGAGAGAGAGAGAGAGAGAGAGAGAGAGAGAGAGAGAGAGAGAGAAAGAAAGAGAGAGAGAGAGAACGAGAGAGAGAGAGAGAGAGAGAGAGAGAGAGAGAGAGAGAGAGAGAGAGAGAGAGAGAACGAGAGAGAAAGAAAACGAGAACGGGAGAGAGAGAACGGGAGAGAGAGAACGGGAGAGAGAGAACGAGCGAGAGAGAACGGGAGAGAGAATGGGAGAGAGAGAACGAGCGAGAGAGAACGGGAGAGAGAGAACGGGAGAGAGAGAACGGGAGAGAGAGAACGGGAGAGAGAGAGAGAGAGAGAGAGAGAGAGAGAGAGAGAGAGAGAGAAAGAAAGAGAGAGAGAGAGAGCGAGAGAGAACGGGAGAGAGAGAACGGGAGAGAGAGAACGGGAGAGAGAGAACGAGCGAGAGAGAACGGGAGAGAGAATGGGAGAGAGAGAACGAGCGAGAGAGAACGGGAGAGAGAGAACGGGAGAGAGAGAACGAAAGAGAGAGAGAGGGAACAAGAGAGAGGGAGAACGAAAGAGAGAGAGAGAGAGAGAGAGAGAGAGAGAGAGAGAGAGAGAGAGAGAGAGAGAGAGAGAGAGAGAGAGAGAGAAGAAGAGAGAGAGAGAGAGCGAGAGAGAGAGAGAGAGAGAGAGAGAGAGAGAGAGAGAGAGAGAGAGAGAGAGAGAGAGAACGAGAGAGAAAGAAAACGAGAGAGAACGAGAAAGAGAACGAGAGAGAGAACGAGAGAGAGAAAACGATAGAGAGAGAACGGGAGAGAGAAAACGATAGAGAGAGAACGGGAGAGAGAGAACGGGAGAGAGAGAACGGGAGAGAGAGAACGGGAGAGAGAGAACGAGCGAGAGAGAACGGGAGAGAGAATGGGAGAGAGAGAACGAGCGAGAGAGAACGGGAGAGAGAGAACGGGAGAGAGAGAACGGGAGAGAGAGAACGAGCGAGAGAGAACGGGAGAGAGAATGGGAGAGAGAGAACGAGCGAGAGAGAACGGGAGAGAGAGAACGGGAGAGAGAGAACGAAAGAGAGAGAGAGGGAACAAGAGAGAGGGAGAACGAAAGAGAGAGAGAGAGAGAGAGAGAGAGAGAGAGAGAGAGAGAGAGAGAGAGAGAGAGAGAGAGAGAGAGAGAGAAAGAAAGAGAGAGAGAGAGAACGAGAGAGAGAGAGAGAGAGAGAGAGAGAGAGAGAGAGAGAGAGAGAGAGAGAGAGAACGAGAGAGAAAGAAAACGAGAGAGAACGAGAAAGAGAACGAGAGAGAGAACGAGAGAGAGAAAACGATAGAGAGAGAACGGGAGAGAGAGAACGGGAGAGAGAGAACGGGAGAGAGAGAACGGGAGAGAGAGAACGAGCGAGAGAGAACGGGAGAGAGAATGGGAGAGAGAGAACGAGCGAGAGAGAACGGGAGAGAGAGAACGGGAGAGAGAGAACGGGAGAGAGAGAACGGGAGAGAGAGAACGAGCGAGAGAGAACGAAATGGACTGAACATGCAACCTATTACAATCTTTATGTACAACCTAAGACGAGGTTGAGAAAAAAATGAACTAAAACATGCAAATATGAAGAAAAGGCAACCGACGAGAGGAAAAGTTTAAGGTTTAAGAATAGAAGAAACAGATGCAAGCTTATGCAGGAAGGAGAACCTGAAATCTTTACAAAGGGCCGAGAACCTAAGTTTAAACAACTAAGTCTCGCTAATACTCATCCATTTACACGGCTAGGATACGGAATGACTAAAGAGAGAGAGAGAGAGAGAGAGAGAGAGAGAGAGAGAGAGAGAGAGAGAGAGAGAGAGAGAGAGAGAGAGAGAGAGAGAGAGAGAGAGAGAGAGAGAGAGAGAGAACGAGAGAGAAAGAAAACGAGAGAGAACGAGAAAGAGAACGAGAGAGAGAACGAGAGAGAGAGAGAGAGAGAGAGAGAGAGAGAGAGAGAGAGAGAGAGAGAGAGAGAGAGAGAGAGAGAGAGAGAGAGAGAGAGAACGAGAGAGAGAACGAGAGAGAGAACGAGAGAGAGGGAACAAGAGAGAGGGAGAACGAAAGAGAGAGAGAGAGAGAGAGAGAGAGAGAGAGAGAGAGAGAGAGAGAGAGAGAGAGAGAGAGAGAGAGAAAGAAAGAGAGAGAGAGAGAACGAGAGAGAGAGAGAGAGAGAGAGAGAGAGAGAGAGAGAGAGAGAGAGAGAGAGAGAGAGAACGAGAGAGAAAGAAAACGAGAGAGAACGAGAAAGAGAACGAGAGAGAGAACGAGAGAGAGAAAACGATAGAGAGAGAACGGGAGAGAGAGAACGGGAGAGAGAGAACGGGAGAGAGAGAACGGGAGAGAGAGAACGAGCGAGAGAGAACGGGAGAGAGAATGGGAGAGAGAGAACGAGCGAGAGAGAACGGGAGAGAGAGAACGGGAGAGAGAGAACGGGAGAGAGAGAACGGGAGAGAGAGAACGAGCGAGAGAGAACGAAATGGACTGAACATGCAACCTATTACAATCTTTATGTACAACCTAAGACGAGGTTGAGAAAAAAAGAGAGAGAGAAAGAAAGAGAGAGAGAGAGAACGAGAGAGAGAGAGAGAGAGAGAGAGAGAGAGAGAGAGAGAGAGAGAGAGAGAGAGAGAGAGAGAGAGAGAGAGAGAGAGAGAGAGAGAACGAGAGAGAAAGAAAACGAGAGAGAACGAGAAAGAGAACGAGAGAGAGAACGAGAGAGAGAGAGAGAGAGAGAGAGAGAGAGAGAGAGAGAGAGAGAGAGAGAGAGAGAGAGAGAGAGAGAGAGAGAGAGAACGAGAGAGAGAACGAGAGAGAGAACGAGAGAGAGGGAACAAGAGAGAGGGAGAACGAAAGAGAGAGAGAGAGAGAGAGAGAGAGAGAGAGAGAGAGAGAGAGAGAGAGAGAGAGAGAGAGAGAGAGAGAGAGAGAGAGAAAGAAAGAGAGAGAGAGAGAACGAGAGAGAGAGAGAGAGAGAGAGAGAGAGAGAGAGAGAGAGAGAGAGAGAGAGAGAGAGAGAGAGAGAACGAGAGAGAAAGAAAACGAGAGAGAACGAGAAAGAGAACGAGAGAGAGAACGAGAGAGAGAAAACGATAGAGAGAGAACGGGAGAGAGAGAACGGGAGAGAGAGAACGGGAGAGAGAGAACGGGAGAGAGAGAACGAGCGAGAGAGAACGGGAGAGAGAATGGGAGAGAGAGAACGAGCGAGAGAGAACGGGAGAGAGAGAACGGGAGAGAGAGAACGGGAGAGAGAGAACGGGAGAGAGAGAACGAGCGAGAGAGAACGAAATGGACTGAACATGCAACCTATTACAATCTTTATGTACAACCTAAGACGAGGTTGAGAAAAAAATGAACTAAAACATGCAAATATGAAGAAAAGGCAACCGACGAGAGGAAAAGTTTAAGGATGAAGAATAGAAGAAACAGATGCAAGCTTATGCAGGAAGGAGAACCTGAAATCTTTACAAAGGGCCGAGAACCTAAGTTTAAACAACTAAGTCTCGCTAATACTCATCCATTTACACGGCTAGGATACGGAATGACTAAATGTTAGTCTATCTAATAGGCATCTAATTTAGTTGGAGTTAAAGTTGAGGGATCTTCTTACCTAAGTTGCAGTTAGAGTAGGTGGAGAAGTTGGTAGAGCGTGACGAGCGAGGAGAAGCGGGAGAAAAAAAGGGCGAACAAACTCTAAGGTAGTCTCAGATTCGTCGCAATTTTTTATTTTTAAAAAGTTTAGCTATTCGAACCAAACATCTGTGATGTAGCAGTGGTACAAGGCTTGGAGTGAAATCGAAAAGCCTTCGGCTCGAATCCCAATCGCGTTATATATTTTTGAACATTTCCTGGTGAGAGGAAGTACCACTTAGTGTCATACTACAGCATTATGTACAGAATTAGAAGTTGTACAAATTTATATAATTGCGCAAAACGCTTCGCAACCCTAAGACGAATTCGTCGCCTCTTGTTTTTTTTTTTTTTTTTTTTTTTTTTTTTTTTTTTTTTTTTTTTTTTTTTTTTTAAGAAGGCTTTTCACTATATCAGGGATACAGCAAAAGGGGCCACGGTCGTAACTGTTGAGAAGAGGGGGGCAATTACACAATAATGAGAGAGCCGCCCCTCAGATGCAACTACGGCGGTTTGTACCTGGCCCTCCGGGCCGTCCAGATCGACAGAAAATCCTCTCTCCACGTCAGACTGCTGGCCGCCCTCGTGCTGGCATTTTCCAGCGCTGCAGCTTCATCACTGGCCAGATGCTGTTTGGCCACGTGCCTCCTTTTGATCCACGCCTTCCTTCGCTTGATGCCTTCGTAAGTGCGCGCATGCAGGCAGAATTTTGTCGCGATCCGCCGCATCACCTTCCCGCACTGGAATTTCTGTCCCCTGAAAACCGCCTTACAACGCTCCACCCAGATCTGATGGAATGTAATAGCCGACACCGTCAGTTCCGGAAGACCGGAAGCAGTTCCCCCGCGCTGGAATAGCAGGTCACCGCCCTCCGCGCTGGTTTGAACCAGCGAATCGCATCCTTGAGAGCCCCCACCACCGGCTGAATAACCCGGCAGGAGAACAATGCATGGTCCACCGACTCTGCCTCCCCGCAGTGCGGGCATTTCGCCCGCTCCCCCAAGAACTTCAAGCGATCCCCCACCTGCAGGTTGAAACAGTGGGCTCGCAGCAGGACATCCCGCGCCTTTGCGGGGACCACATGAGAGTCTCTGCGCGCAATCGCCCGCTTCCAGTCAATTTTCTTCCCCCACAGTTGCTCCCACTCTGAACGACGAGACAGCTTGACCGGCTGCTTGTGCCTCACCCCCAGTCCTTCTCTCAGCTGCTTCAGTGAGGCCGCTAGCTTACCCACGCAGAGCTCCGATTTTAGTAGCCTGCTGCGTGGCTCGCCCAGCTCCCCGACCACCTCGCCCCCCATCACCGCCATCGGCGTGACTTCCGACACGGACAGCGCCTTAACCCTCGCTCCCTCAGGCATAAACCACGACTTCCCGTCCTCGTGCAGGCACATCTTTACACAATAGAGCAGGCTGCCGTGGGCTTTTTGGACCTTCCACATCTTTATCCCTCTCGTCGTCGTTCTCACCACCGTTGTGGCTTCTGCCAATTCATCCGACGTGAGCGGCTTCAAGACCCGCGCCTTCCAGTCGTCACTTAGCGCCTCCTTGACCGCCATGGCTGTTTCTGCTGCCTGCTTGCTGCCTAAGTCACGGGCTAGACGGTCTGATGATTTCCAGCGTCTGGTGCCATCTGCCCACTTCATGAGCAGGCCCCCCACCATAATCTCATGGAGGCACTCATCCCCCTTGCGCCGTCCAAAAGGGTAGCTGTCGTCACGCAGGATGTGCCTGTTGAAGAGCACCCGCTCCTTCTCGATATCCCATCTGCTCCCTACCGCCATGTATATGACAACCGGCGACTTCATCGCCGCCGCTGTGATTGCCTTCCACCGTTCACTCCCTGTGCCCCACGCTTTAAGCAGCGCCTCATGCGCGAGGAGGGAGGCATAGCCAAGCGGGAAGTCCGCCGCACGCTCTGCCAACAACCGCCGCTGCGGCATTTCCTCCGTGAGCAGCTGCGCCAGCGAGTGCAGCGCCTCAGTATCCAGCCGGTCCTTCAGGTTTATCACCCCGAGTCCCCCTTCCTCCCTTTCGAGTTGCATGAGATCCCCATTCCAGAGAATGAAGCCCGGCTCCGAGTTCGCACGTCCCCCGGAGACAAAAGCGTGGCACAATCTCCTCAGCTCCTCCCAAATCGTGTCCGGCGGGGGGTAAATCTGCGCCTGGAACAACGCGATGGGCATGACATACGCGTTGACCACTGTTACACGCGCCGTAGTGGTAAGAAACTTCGCCTCCCATTTCTTCAGCTCTGCTTCCATTCTGCTTAAAGCTCTCTTCCGTGACGGCTTTGCGTCTCCTCCCGGTGTGATCCAAACCCCCAAAAGACGCTCCGGGTCATCGCGCGACGCCCATTTGAAGGCCCCATCCGCAGGCGGTGGAATATCGCGTTGCCTCCCCAGCGGCAGCACCACCGACTTGTCCCAGTTGACTGCCAGCCCTGACATCTTTTCAAACTCCTTCAGCAGCAGCTCCGCGTCCCCCAGCTGCGAACGGCCATTCAGCAGCAAGGTAGTGTCATCAGCGTACCCCAGGTATGTCAGTCTTCCTGCTTCCTCAACGTTGATTCCTAACCACCTCCTCCTCGCCTCCTGGCAGAAGGGCTCGATCGCGCACAGGAACAAGTACGGCGCGAGGGGACATCCCTGCGTCACCTCGGTCGAGACTGGGACCTCCTCTCCCAGCCAGCCATCGTTGCAGATACGGGTCGATGCGCCCTGATGCAGCCCCTCCACCCACTTCACGTAAGCCTCCGGGAAGCCCATCTTTCGCAGCACGTCAAACAGGTACCCACGCGCCACTGAGTCAAAAGCCTTGCGGAAGTCAAACAGGAGCATGAGCCAGTCCTCCTGCCCTGCGTTCGCAGCATCAATCACGTCTGCCGCAACCGCCACCGCGCCAGCGATGCTCCTTCCGGGTAAGAAGTCGAACTGCCCAGATGACACCATGCTCTCCAGCTTGTTTTTTATCTGGTTCGCCAACACCTTTGCAATCAGCTTTTGCACCGTGCTTAACAGTGTAATCGGGCGGTAGTTCTGCAAGTCATCCTTGGCACCCTTCTTATGCAGGAGCACAGTCACAGCAGTTGAGAATTCCTTAGGGAGTGCCCCCGTCCGTTCAAAGCCCTTCAGAAACTGCATCATCTGACCCCCCAGCAGGTCCCACTGCGACTCCCAGAGCTCCTTCGGGAGACCATCACGCCCCGTCATCTTGCCCGGCGCCATCTCCGCCAGCGCACGTTTGACCTCCGCCCCTTCCCAGGGCGCACTGAGCGCCGCCACGTCCTCCAGGGAGAGACGCTTGTCCACCGACCAATCCAACTGTGTGTCCGCACCCGCTGCGAACAACTTGGTGTAGAAGTCCGACGCGGCAGCCAGCGCCTCCTTCGCCCCCTCATACCGGGGCCCCTGGTACAGTACATCTGCCAGGCGTGTCTTAGCCTTCCGCGCCTTTACTCTGGACGAGAGGAAACCCGTGGGGGCTTCCCTATTCATTTCCACCTTGATCCCCGCTTGCTCCTGCAGCTTACGGCATCTCCCCTCCACATAGGCCTTGAGCTTGGCTTCACACCTTGCCAGGCGCGCCTTCGCCCGCGAGCAGCGAGGTTTGCGCATCATCTGCTGCCTCAGCTCCCCGACCTCCCGTTCAAGGTGCGCCGTCGTAGCTGCTACCCGCTTCCGCTCTTCCACAGTGTAGGCCTTGAGGCCCACCGTCAGAGACGCCATCAGCGCCTCCAGATCCCCTCCTCTCTCTGTGTTCCTTCTAACGATCTGCTCCACCCACCGCTGCACCCCAGGGCGTGGCACTTGCAACGCCGGAAGCCTCCAGAGCCCCGGGCCTAGCTCCCCGTCTCCCCCCGCACTGAGCTGCAGGTGGACCGCGGACCAGTGGTCCGTGGACTTCTTGGTCAACCCCACATGCCGCACATCCTGGATTTGATGAATCAGCGCATTCGAGAGGAGAATCCGGTCAATCCTCGTACTCTCCTGCACCGCCGTTGCGTAAAAGGTGTACTCTCGCAGACATGGATGGAGTGCCCTGAAGGCATCTCGGACATCGAAGCTGCTGCAGATGGTCATTAACCTGTCATTTTCCCCCCTTGAGCCCAGCCCTGACGTCTTATCCAGTGCAAGATCTTCAATGATGTTCAGATCCCCTGCAAGCAGCAGATGGCTCCCAGCCGGTATCGCTGCCAAGAATGGCTTAAGCACATCGCGGAAAAATGGAGACCGCGCCGTTGGGCTCGCCGGGAAGTAAGTCGCGACAACCGTCACCGTCACACCGCGCCATGCCATGGTTATCCGCGCCAGGCGTCCTGAAGCGTCTCTGACCACATCCGAGCACGATACTTCATTATTGCGTAAGACTATCGCCACACCCCCAGCTCTTGCTGTAGGCGTCGCCGCTACTGCTGCATCTGCTTGAAGCCGATTCCAGAAGGAGTGATTTTCCGCAATCCGTGTGTCTGCTAGTATGGCTATATGTGCTGCGTCTCTTATCCAGTCCTGAGCGTCTTGCTGTTTCTGCGGACACCCAAGACCGTTGACATTCAGGACACTGAAGGTGAGGGTGGAGTGTTTACCCATTTGGAACCTGCGTTAGGCCCCTAAGCATCCACGGGCCGGAGGTGAGGGTGTTGCTGGAAGCCATCGTTACTGCATATATACTCCATACAGGAACAGGTACAACGGCACTGATAGATCTCCTACTCCATGGTACCGGCACACTTCTCAGCACACTGCACGCCTGAATCACTTCCCCTTCGTCTTTTCCGCACGAATCCCGTACAAATTTTTCGCTGCCTGCAGGCTCAGCTTCGCCTTGGACGCACGGGTCACAACACCCGCCGACCCCAACGCCGCACCGTGGCTGAAGGAACCGATGTGAGCCGCTGCCTGGGCAAAGGTATCCCCTTGCGCACACTCGCAACACTCCTGAACACAGAGCCACTCCTCCACGTTGGCTCCCGTTGAGATAAGGACCAGCGCCGGGTCCCGGAGGATCTTCCTCACCACCCCTGCCGAATGGAGGGAGGCCGCTGCCAAAGACACCCATCACAACGCCATCAGTAAGCAAAACAGGAAAGTTGATGCACAGGCGAGAACCCCGAGGTAAGCTCCCCCCCCCTGTTACCGTTGATCGTGTGGATCCTGCCTAAAGACAAGTTCTATTTGCCGATGTTGTTACGACGCTCATGCACATACTCATCATGCAACTGATCCATGTGTGGTCCCTGGCAAAAGCAGCAGGACAGCGACGGATAATGCACGAGGTACGTCACATCAGTGAGCGAGTCTTCCACCACGTGGCGCCAGCGATACTTGTCCCCGGGGTGCGGAACGACCAGGCCATGGATCTTATCAGTATCCAACCCTGAGACCGGGTCAACCACGCGGTGAAACCCCGCTCTTCTGCAGCGACGCGACCACCAGCGACTCGTAGACAATGAGCGGTGTGATTTCCGCCGGTATCCCCTCAAGCAAAACTTCCACCCCCTCCGGCAGATCGCTCTTCACCTTCATGAAAGCGCGGTTGACCGGGTGCAGCCAACCGAAATGGTGCTTCGTGGTTCCGACGACGTGCTCCACCCGGTGCTGACGCACCACCTCCGCAGCAGCAGCCGTGGCGAGCGTGACTTGAGGACGGCAGAAGTGAATATGCGATAGGTACGTCGGTAGTAGCTCCTGAAACGCGAGACCATCCAAAGCGTTATCCGACAACTTCGTCCGCAAGTAGACTAGTAGAGCCTTCACTGATGGCTTCACCGCATGCATCTCCTTCTCCAGCTCGAACGGGATCATGAGCGTCAGCGTGACGCGCGCCTTAGACGCCAGCACGCCTTCGTCAGAGTCGTCGCTTAAGTAACCGTCGTCATCATCCTCTTCATCATCCTCCCCTCCAGCAGGCGCGAGCTCAGCTGCAACAGCAGGCGAAGGCGCGACAGGATCTGGGACAGAAACTGTCAGAATCCCAACCACTAGACCACTGGGATAAAAAGGCTTGTTAAGTAGCGGGTCAGTGCGTCCATAACCTCCCAGGACAACAAGCCTGTAACCCTTCCCTAGGATCAATCGGGGATCACCAGTGGACCTCTGACACCCCCCTCGCACTGGGATGCTCGAAGTGCACACACTGGGATTCGAACCTGAGACCTTCGCTCTAATACCATATCAGAATCCCAGTCACTAGACCACTGGGATAAAAGGGCTTGTTTCAGTAGTGGGTCAGTGCGCCCATAACCCCCCAGGACAACGAGCCTGTAACCCTTCCCTAGGATCAATCGGGGATCACCAGTGTGAGAAAGTACGAACGAGGAGGGGGAAATGACTAAGGAAAGATGGGTACAAATACAACCCTAGAAACCCTGTACCCCATATGTGCTACCCCACTATAGCCTACAACAACTATGTCATATAAATCTGACACACCCCCATAGGCAAAGTGGGGGAGAACAAGGGGTCACAAGACCAGTCAAGCAAAGCAAAGCAAGCTCAGGGTGGATCACAAAGTCACCACACAGTCCGAGCACAAGAGTAGGGCCAGAGGCCAGTTCACATGCAGGAGTACAGACATATATATAAAACTAGACAAACAAGAGCAGGCATATATATATATGTCACATTACAAGTGAAGTCAAGAGGAGAGCAAGTGAGGCAAGACAGGCACAAGACCCAGCTGGGTGCAAAAGCGCTGATGGTCATAAGGCGCGAGTGCCTTGGTGAACACATCAGCAGTGTTGGCCTCAGAGGCCACGTACGCAAGTCGCAACTGACCACGCTGCTGCAGCTCACGAGCAAGGAAGTAGCGGAGAGCAATGTGCTTCGTTCTGTGCTCCAAGCGCTGCTCTCGACACAAGGCCAGCATAGCCTTGTTGTCTACGTACAGCACTGGAGGAGAACGAGGCGGCTCTCCAAGGTCAGTCAGCAGGTAGGTGAGCCAGCGAAGCTCCTGTGCAGCCATGGCCCCGGCGTAGATCTCAGCCTCACAACTGGAGCCGAGAACCGAAGACGAGCGAGTAGACCGCCACGAGACAGAGCCGGAACCAAGGCTGAAGGTGTAACCCTGTGACGACCGCTGCGTAGCCTGGTCGTCGGCCCAAGAAGTGTCCGCGTGGCCGGTAAGGACCACTGGACTCCGCCCTCCAAGCACTAGCCCCATGCCCGACGTGCTGCACAGGTAGCGCAATACCCTCTTCGCTGCAGCCATGTGCTCCGGTCTGTGTCTCCCAGGAGCAACATAGCGTGCAAGAATGCTCAGAGGGTATGCAAGGTCAGGTCGTGTGCAGGTCATCAGGTACATGAGGCAGCCAACAAGCTCTGCATACGGACCACTCGACTCTACGGACTCATCCGAAGGCAGAGCTGAGAGTGAGTGGCGCGTAGGTAGAGGAGTGGCCTGAGGCGAGGAGTACGTGAAGCCGAAGCGCTGAAGGACCTGCTGCACCATGTGTGACTGAGTCAAGGTAATGGTGCGGCGTGCTCTGTCCCGAGTGATCTGCAAGCCAAGGTAGCTGCGCAGTTCACCCAGGTCTGTGCACGTGTGTCTCTTCAGCAGCTCGGACTTCACGTAGGCGAGTCCAGCAGTGTCCGCTGTGGCAAAGACCAAGTCGTCGACGTACACGAGGATGTAGAACGGCGGCAGCGAGGTGTCGGTGCGCAGAAACAGCGACGGGTCAGCAGTAGAAGGAGCAAACCCAAGAGCCGCAAGCGTAGTCCTCAGTGTGTCGTGCCACTCACGCGGTGCCTGGCGGAGACCGTAGACTGGCCGTCTGAGGCTCCACTGGGTGCCAGGAGGGAAAGTCCCAGTGAAGCCAGGTGGACGGCGCAGCCAGATCTCCTCGTGCAGGCTACCCTGCAGGAACGCAGTGCTGAAGTCAAGAGAGTGAAGCTCGTAGTCGCGCTGAGCGGCTATGTGCAGCAGCACCCGAAGAGTGGTCATCTTCGGGGTGGGAGAGAAGGTCTGAAAGTAGTCAACTCCCTGCCGCTGACTGAAGCCACGAGCAACGTACCGCGCCTTGAAGACAGGTGGAGAGCCCGGCGGCCGCTTCACCCGGAAGATCCACATGCCACTGACGATGTTCGCCCCAGGAGGGGGAACTGCGTCAACGTAGGTGCCTGTGGACTTCCAGGAAGCCATCTCTGCATCCATAGCTGCCTGCCACTGAGAGGAGTAGGGACCCTCTACGGCCTCCGCGTAAGAACGCGGAGTCGGGATGTCTAATGCATCCGGGTCTCCCTCAGGGGCAAGTAGTACAGACGCGAGATGAGGTGAAGCAGCCGCTAGACACTGTAACTCCTCCTGTCTGTCCTCTAGGACGTCCGTGCCAAGAGCACACTCACCCCCGACGGACGGAGGACAGACAGACGCAGACTCAGCAACAAGACCAGCAGCGTAGTCGAGACGACAGCGAGCAGCAAAGTCAACGAGCTCAGCGACTAGAGCAGACGCAGCAGTGGACTCAAAAGAGGGGTCAGTGACGACAGTAGCAAGCAGACGCGTGACAGTAGGACTGGCAGCGCGAAGAGAGTCTGACCCAGGGTCGGCAAGCGCAGGAAGAGAGGACTCAGGAGGAGAAGGCAGAGGGGCACGCAGAGGAGCAGTGGACGGACGCAGAGACATCCGGTGCGTGCCAGGGACAGGAGGAGGACGCTGACGCGAACCGCGACCACTAGCGCGAGCAGCACGAACAGGCGACGCGGGACGAGACGCAGGCTCACGACGCTCAGCAAGACCTCCAGTAGGACCAGTGTAAGGAGAGGGAGCAGGCAGAGGAGAGGAAGGCTCCAACAGTGACTGCGACTGGACAGGCTGTGGACACTCTACCGAAGGAGAAAGACCAAGAACCTGCTGTAGGAGCGGAACGAAGTACGGCGGAGGCCGCGCGGCAGCTCCAGACTCAGCAGGGACAGCACCAGCACCCGCAGCACCTCCAGCTGCAGGAGGACCCTCAGGTCCAGCAGCTCCGGGACCGGCAGCACCCGCACCCTCGACGGTCGAAGAAGCTCCAGCTCCAGCTCCAGCAGCACCTCCAGACTCAACAGCACGCCTCCAGCGGCGAGCGTACCACTCGCGCAGCTCCTGTGGAGAGAGGGGCTCCCGGCGAGACGCAGCAGCAGGAGAAACCCCAGGTTCAGCAGCTCCAGACGCAGCACCCCCAGGCTCAGCAGCTCCCAGCTCAGCACCCCCAGGCTCAGCAGCTCCCGACCCAGCACCCCCAGACCCAGTACCTCCAGGCACAGCACCCCCCGGCTCAGCACCCCCAGGCTCCGCACCCACCGCAGTAGCACCCTCAGGCCCAGCACCCCTAGCAGTAGCACCCCCAGGCTCAGCACCCCCGCGCACAGTACCCCCAGAGTCAGCACCCCCAGGCTCAGCACCCGCAGCAGCACCAGAGTCACCAGTAACCTCGACCGGGTCAACGGCGTCTACCTGGGACACACCTGAGGGGGCAGGAACCTGAGGGGGGAGGGGGTCTACCGGGGGGGGAACCGGCACAAGGAAGTCCGGGGGAGGGGGGAGGGAAGGAGTGCGGTAGGGGAAGAGACGGTAGAAGGGGACTGACTCGTCGAACGTGACGTCCTGGGAGGACAGAACACGACGAGAGGAGGGGTGGTAAAACTGCCACCCTGGGGCGTCAGTGGGGAAGCCAAGGAAGACACAGGGAGCAGCACGAGGGGACAGCTTGTCCGCAGACAAGTCGCGGACAAACGCCCGAGATCCCCAGACACGGAACACAGACGCATCGCCAACCTTTCCCGTCCACAGCAAGACTGGGGACATCGCAGGCCGAGAGACCCGGGGGTGAAGGTTGAGCTGATGCGCCGCGTACCTCACCGCAAACGGCCACAGAAAATGGGGGGCAGCCGCATGCATCATGGACGTACGAGCGACATCCATGACCATGCCAATGCGGCGCTCAGCAATCCCATTTTGCTGTGGTGAGTCCGGAAGCGTGAAGGTCTGGCGGATCCCCCGTGCACGACAGTAGTCTCGCAGAAGGCGGGAAGAGAACTCTCCGCCTCTGTCAGAGTGCAGACGCAGAACAGGAAAGTCCGAGCCGAAGCTCTTCCTGAGCTGGAGACGAGCCTCGCGGATCCAGTCGATCAGCACCACAGTGACCTCACCCTTGCTGCGCAAGGGGAAGACTGTGGTGTAACGCGAGTAGTCGTCAACCACCAACAGGAAGTAGCGCTCGTAACCCTGCCCACGGACGGGGGCTGGGCCCCACACATCCATGTGAAGCGTCTGCAGGGGAGCCTCTGTCGGGGGGAAGTGGGAGGAGTGAGGAGTAGCCCGGAGGCGACCCTCGACACAAGGGACACAGGAAGGTCCTGGCCCGGAGGGGAGAGGAGGGAGAGACTGGGGAAGACCAGAGACAAGGACACGGGAAGCCATGCTCCGAAGACGGGGCAAGGAGGGGTGGCCAAGACGGTGGTGCCACAGGAGAGTCTCGTGAGACAGGAGGCGACAAGTACAGGGGGCAGACTCAGGACCAGACCTGGACGCAGCAGCAAACACCTGACCCGACGCTGCTACCTGACCGGATGCGGGGACAGGAGGAGACTCAGTGGTCAGGGTGTAGAGGCTCGACCCCGGCCGACGCGAGAACGTGGCCAGGTGCCGGCCTGTGCGTGCGTCCGTGCAGTGGGTCACCCGCTGACTCGCAGGAGTGAACTGGTGAACCCCCGCATCCTGTAGGTCTGCACCACTCACCAAGTTCGTCGAGAACGAGGGGAGGTACAGGCCAGACAGGGTGCCCGAGGGGGCAGCCGGACACGGGAGGACAGTGGAGAAGTGAGCG